AAATGAACCTCATGGTGGGACCCCAGGGTCCCGAATAAACGGAAGTCAAAATCTTAATGAATGTATTTATTTTTGGCGACTCCATTCCACCGCGCACTTAAACGCCGCGTCCCACCTGGCGCAGATCGTTCTGTTGTCATGTCGTCTAAACGCAACGAGGACGAATGCGCAGAAGAGCTGAATAAGCGAATGCACTCCATGCTCGGGTATGGGGAGGATCATAAGTCTTATCCAAAGCTGCTCAAACTGCCTACACGACTTTATTTTGTCATAATGGTATGCATAATACAGTGAAACTGCTCTTATCTTCATTATTATTTGTGACCTACCAATGTCTGCAGCCAGAATCAATCGATGACAATCCTACTACCTGCAGATATTTAACAGATGAGATGCGTTGCACCGTTAATTCCTCCTGTTTGATAATACTTCTCTTGTCCGTATGCATCTGTGCAGATAGGTTTGTTTTTTGTGGTTAAGCCATAGTCCCCACGTACCGCTCGTATCAATGCAGATAAGAGGAGCGGCGACCCACTACTCTGTAGAGTAACATTGGTATAAACGCTTGTTACAATATGAACAGCGCATTGAAAACGCGTACTATTTTATGTACTGTTTACAAAGTGCGTTCACAAATCCACACTGAGAAACACGATGATTGACAGATGGGTGTAAATTATTTTATCGATAGTGTATTTAAATAGAGGTACTGCAGGTAAGCAGTTTTCAGTTTTAAAGGCGTAGTTTAACAAGACAACACTTACCACCATCCTTCAAACCCATTGGTGAAAAAGAGCAAAGTTTTTGTTTATATTATAATGTTTACATTATAATATAATGTTTATGCGAGAGCCGGGGGCCTATGGAACCCCGGGGTCCCGCCATAAGGTTCAAATAATACGCCACTTTGTTGAGCTATCATTTGTGGCCAGGTCGCTTTTTAAAAGTAAGTTAATACCTCAGTGGGCTTTGGGAGGACGGTGATGGTTTAGTGTAGCGGTGGGGAACCTTTTTTTCTGCCAAGGGCCATTTGGATATTTATAACATCATTCGCGGGCCATACAAAATTATCAACTTAAAAATTAGCCTGTTATATTTGGTCAAACATTTAATTAACTCACCGCTAATGTGATGGCTGGAACTGCTTCTCTTTGGTGAGGCGTGTGATGTTAGCCGGTATTGATGATGTTGCTACTCGCAACTGCTTTTTCAGGTTTGCTCCTAGATTGATTGAATTTCGAGTCCCGCCTGCGGTTGCCTTGGCAGGGCCACACCAAATGGTTTAGCGTTTTATTTGTATGTGTTTGGGTGATTTGTTTACCTTTCTTGTACTTTGCACTCCTATCGTGTATTTGCATTGTGTTTGTTGTTGTAACGTTCTTACCCCGTGCCCCTACTGGACATCTGTGAAAAAAGAGCTTTATAGCTCATCGGATTCCTACAGTATAAATAACTATTCTGATTCTGATAGTCCCACAAGACCTCAACAATAATCTATGCATTTGTACTTTCCAGGCTCGACGAGTGCAATTCTCTGTTACGTATTAGGTCTGGCTTTGTCCCCCATCCAACGTGTGCAGGACGTTAAAAATGCAGCTGCAAGAGTACTCGCACATCGTACCCGTGAGCGTCATCATATTGCATCCACTTTACGATCCCTCCACTGGCTACTTATTCAGTCCAGAATAACCTTCCACGAGTGCGGTCACTGTATTCAAAAAATCTTCGGGGAGGATTTTCACCTATCTGTTAGAGCTTTTAACAGACAACGAGATAATAAGTCACAGCTCATCGAGACGCTGACCTCCCTCAAAAGATGCCGCGACAACAAGGTAATACCCATCGCTTTCACACTCACTTCTGCTTCTGTATCTTCACCGAACTCTAAACGGATTCTGTTTAAGGCTAGCTTATCACTAATCTCAGAAAGGATAAGAGTACTCCGATTTTAACTCGATAGTTTAGACAGGACTCACCTACAATCTCATTTAATGTTAACACAAAAAATGTCCCCTTCTGATTGGAACCACGTTGACAACATGACGGCTGCCTCTGGTGATTCACTGTCAGTCAAATGCAAAGCTAACCTGATTGCTAAATTCAACCGCCTATCAAAGAAGAACCCAAGACCACACATCACAAAACTAGACGTTAACAAAATTGTTATTAATCAGAGTAACATCCCGATTTCGGACAATCTGAAAACAGTACTGGCTAAAGGACTAAATTTTGCTGTCACCCCTAAACATACACCAGTAGAGGATATCATCTCCCAGGTCGATGTAGCCCACAAAGGCATAGGACACACCCAAGCAGACGTTGCGAGAGCTGAAATAGAATGCTAAGAAACCCATTAGCAACATCAGCAAAAATGAATGCTCTGAACTCGCGAATTTTAAAAAAGAGGGATGATATAGTCATCCTCTCGGCCGACAAAGGCAATGCCACTGTCATTATGGATAAAAACTCATACAACAACAAAATCCTGGACCTACTCAATGATGGGAGTTACTCAAAAAATAAAAATGACCCTACTAACAGCCTAACAATAAAAACCAACAAGATCATCACTAGTTCGACTTCCCTAATCGAACCAACCAAACGGCCCTCCATAAAACCCTCCGCTGCAAGACCTCCCAGATTCTATGGTCTTCCCAAGATCCATAAAGAAGGTACCCCACTATGACCCATCGTGTCCACGATCAACTCCCCTACCTACAAGCTAGCCCGTTTTCTGTCAGATACTCTGCTTCCCTTCACTGGCAATACCACCTCAGCAGTACTTAACTAAACCCAATTGGTTTCTATGGTCAAAGACATTGTACTATCTCCTGACGATATCCTTGTCAGCTTTGATGTGGTCTCTCTGTTCACCAAGGTCCCAGTACCTGATACCATAACAATAATTGAAGATTTGGTCCAACATGGACTGGACCCTGATGTACCTGCGCTGGTTAGGCACTGCCTCACCAACACCTACTTTACTTGGAATGGCACCTTCTACAAACAAAATGAGGGTACCCCTATGGGTTCCCACTTGTCACCAGTGATAGCCAATGTTTTCATGGAGAAATTTGAATCAGACGCCATCCAGACATCCACCCTTAGTCCTTCTCTTTGGAAGAGATATGTGGATGACACTTTCATCATTTGGCCACATGGCCTCCCAGCTTTGAACCATTTGCTAAACCACACCAATTCCAGACACCCATCCATCAAATTCACCATGGAAGTGGAGAAAGATGGCAAGCTGCCAATCTTGGATGTTCTGTTTGAGAGGAGGACTGATGGCTCTTTGGGACATTCTGTTTACAGGAAGTCCACCCACACAGATTGCTACTTGAAGCCTGATTCCCACCACCACCCGGCTCAAAAGGATTCGCTCATCAAAACATTATACCATAGAGCTCATTGCATTTCTGACCAACACCACCTGATCAGTGAATTAAAACATGTACATCTAGCCCTCAAGATGAACGGTTACTCTGACCGTATCATCCGCCAAGCTGTTTCTCCCACCATACAGAAACAACCACTTGACACTCCGATCAAAATCATCACACTGCCATACATAGCAGGCGTTACCAAAAAGATTTCCAAAATTCTAAACATAAGATCCAGGTTCGATTCAATACAGTACACAAAATCAGTGATCTGATCCCATCCGTAAAGGATGTCATCCCTGACTTACAGTACCCCGGTGTTTACAAATTGAGTTGTACCTGCGATGACTGCTATATCGGGGAGACAAAACGACATATTTCTGACCGAATTCGCGAGCACAAATCAGATTTGAAACACGGCAGAACGAATTCGTCGGACGTAGCTGATCACTGTTTCAACACAGCGGGTTCTCATGACATTGTTTTCTCCGATACCAAGGTACTCTGCAAACCTCCCGGTTATTACCAAAGATTTGTCCATGAAGCCATCCAGATATACAAACATAGACACAACTTCAACCGAGAGGATGGTTTTAAATTAAGCAACCACTGGAAAGATGTCATAAACCAAGTCAAAACTTTAGCTATCTTATAAGCACACAGCATATTATTTTCGAACTTTTCCATTTTTGTTTCCATTTTCCATTGCCCCCATGCAGTGACCCACCGCATCCCCCGCACCCTCAACATAACAAAAGATGGATTAACTTAGCCCCGCAACCCATCAATGTCCCCTACTTGGCTCCTCCCCCCCCCTTTAACCTGTATTTAAGCTCGAGGCTCTCAGAGCCTCCCCACTTGATGCAGCGATCTTGCTGTGACTGTTCCACCTGAAGACGGAAGCTTGTGTTGCCTCCGAAACGTCGTGATTTAATTGCTTCTTTTATTTTATTTTACCTACGTGACTATTTAAACTATTTTTGTTTAACCAATAATAAGGTCTATTGAGCTAAGTAGCTCTTTTTCAGAAGCGACCTGGCTATCACAAATGATAGCTCAACGAAGTGGCTTATCACGTGGCAATGTATTGCAGCCAAATACCCTAAATGCATGTTGATTTCGATTTAAAGCTTTCGTGACTGCAAGGATTCATCTTCTTTGGTTCTTTCGGTAAAGTCACGTAGAATGAGAATAAAATAATAAAATAAAATAAGACAATAAAATTCTCACGACGTTTCGGCCACAACACAAGTAGCCTTCAGGTGAAAGAACAGAACTGTCGGGACGACAGAGCTTCAATTAACGGTGCTAAGATTCGCAGCGTCTTTTAAGCTCGGTGAGAGGCGTGACGAGCCTTGAAAAAGGAGTTCACATATCAAAGCAAGAGAATTTAGCATTGAAAAAACTGAGGGATTAGCTTGTGACAGAAATAGCTGTGTTAAAGTCAAAGTTTACATATCCACAGAGGCATTTAGTATATTGACGCTAAAGGCCTCCAATTACCAACTATTATAAAGTAAACCATAGCGTCTTTTAAGCTCAGTGAGAAGCGTGAAGATCTTTGACAAAGGAGTTTACATATCAGAGCAGGAGAATTTAGCATTGAAATAGCCGAGGGATTAGCTTGTGACAGAAATAGCTGTGTTAAAGTCAAAGTTTAAATATCAACAGAGGAATTTAGTATATGGACGCTAAAGGCCTCCAATTACCAACTATCGACTCCATCATATTATTATTATTATTCAAATCTGAACTAAAGGTATTTTCATTCATCCACGCATACGCTGAAAAGTTGGTAATGATATTTTGGACATTGGACCAATGGGTATAAGTGAGTCGTAACTTCATGGCACCCCACCACTGCCGCCCCCCCCCCCCCCCCCCCGTCAAGGTTTCCTGGCTTGGTTGGGAAGTTGAGACTGTGGTCTGGGATGTGCAGGAGACCTCATGGACTAATTTCTCAGTTGTTGCGATAACTTGTTTGTTGTTTGTCCCTTTTGTTTTGGTGCCAATTCTTTATTTGGTTATTAATTTTAGATTTTAGTTAGTGGTAGTAGGGTTTTCATTTGCTTGGTAGCGGCTGTAGATGGGATTTGGTCATTATATAGAATTAATGTACAGGGTTATGCGAAAATGAAAATATTATTACTAACAACATTCCTCGTCCGCAAAAATAAAGTCGCAATCTGACCATCTGGGATCGCTGTCACCATCATAGAATCTCACGCAGATCCGAAAAAAACCGCTGGCGAACAGAGTGGAACAACGCGTGACGTCCAGAATAAACACCTCCTCATTCGAGACCCAAACATCGAGCACCTCCTGGATTTGACATTCCTGGAAGACACCGATGGAACCATCAACCGCATCACGACATCAACAGGCCAATGCACACATCTCCTTCATGGATGGAGAATGAAAGACAAGCCACGGGAGTGCGGTCGTCGTGGCTATGCAAACCAAAACTATGGACCACCATTGTAGCCTGCGCTCCTTCAACGGAGGCGGAACAGCAAAACCACAAACTCTCCTGAAAACCTCTTGTGGCGAACAGACCTCGACATCTGGCATCGAGCTCCTGAATATATTTGCTGCCATCGTGCGCACGATTATAAAGGGACCCCCTCTTCACCAGTTGGATTGTTGCATCGCGGACTCGTGAGAGATGGCGAGAGCTTGGGGGGGGGGGGGGGGCTATCATCCAATAGTGGATTGATCATGGCCAATGATGACGAGGATGACGATATTCACGGTGAGCTAGGTGTGGGTGACCGGGTCGCGTTGGCGGCGTGCCCCGCGTGGGAGGCACATATCCGCGGTGCTGCGGGGGACTGCGCGTCTCGAAGTGCTGCAAGGAGTTTGTATTTCAAACGCCTACGCTCAGTCTCCGGCAGGGAGCGTAGCTCATTGGCGATGAAGCGTCCAAACACATCGTATTCGTCGTCCTCCTTCATCAGTCGGGCGGAGTGCGCCTCCAGGCACCTCATGGCCGATTCCATCAGCTGACTGCCTCCTGCTGCGACGGCATTCCCTTTGTCTCTGCACCTCGGCTTTGGGTATTGTGGCCTCCGGGGTGTACATTCAGCGCTGTGCGTGGAGGTGTCCATGGAGTGTGTGATGTCCGTGATGTTTGCGGAAGGGGTTGGTGGGTCAGCTCTATCCCCGTCCCGTTTCTTCTCCCCCCTGTCGTGACTGCTCTGGTTGTCGACGCGTTCCACCTGCGAGGCAAACATTGAATCCACCGTAGTGGCCAGCGATTGTGAAAAACATACACAACAATAGCATTCATGTACCACTCTCCGACGTACAATTTGAGTTGTACCACATCGACCAGATTTTGAGGTTTGACGTCTCGCTCCACATGTATGGACATCGTTTAATTGGCTGAAAACATCGTAATATATAGAGGACCGCAGAGTTTGGGAAACTGTGGATGCCAGCTCACTGCCTGGCTGCCTTACAGCTAGCCTCTGGTTCCTCAGCCAGAGATGGCAATTTTCATGAACGACACCGCGATATGAAACTCAACTACATCAGTCCCTCGATTAACGTTTTTTAACTCGTTCCACGAAAAATGCCGTTTATCGACATAACTGTTTATAGAATTCACTTATAATGTGAAAAGTAAATAAAAGAATCACCGAGTCTGCAAGATGTTTTTCCACTACCACAAAGACATAAAACGGAATGTAAACAATGCCAATCGAAGTCTAAACTGCTCAGGGATGGACGTCGCTGATTTGCTGAGGGTATGGTTTAGCCCCTTCTTACGAAATTGGTGCCTGCGTGCATAACGTAAACACGTACTGTTAGTCAAAAAATGTTAACGTCAGTCGAAACCACGGGGGTCCTCTATAGGAGGCAAAACGTTCACCGAAAAACCGTGAACCGATGTCGCTGTCAACCGAGGGACTACAGTATTCTACTGAACAGTACGTGGTACAACTCAAAAACACATGGAGAGCTACTCAGCAGAGCCGCGATAACCTATGCAGCAGTCAAATGTAACTATTGGACGTGACTGCCGTCCCCACAGATTTCTGTCCCGATTGTAGGTGATATTTTTCGCCCAATCACAATTCCTCCTGGGATGCCGCTTTTCTTTTCATTTTGTGTGGGGTTATAGGGTTTGGCGGGTTATCGTGGTTAGCATTTACGGGTTAAGGTTAATGGTTAGGTTCTAAATTGAAGGAAGGGTAGGGCTCGCGTTTGGGATTACACGTTTGTATTATGGTTTAAAGGTTTGTGATTGGGGTTAGGGTAAGGAGTAGTTGTACCTAAGACTGATCTTCTTGCTCCGCATCTGCGGAGGCAGAAGCCTCGGCCTTACCTACGATGTCCATCTCGTTACAGGCGACTCGCACTGCCAATATAGCAATCACCGTGGAAGGTGATGTTAGCACGCGTGGCAGGGTGCGCGATGAATCGTCACATCACACGTCGGTCGCACACAGGTGGATTATTACATCACGAGACGTTGGCTTGGGTAGGCCGTCATCCAGCAGTGGAATTACGACGATGATAAGTGGCTACACATCGCCCAACCGGTTCACGTGCTGGCAGTTACGACTACCGCCTTCGGCACGATGGAGATAACGCGCATGTCATACCTGCAAGCTGGAGGAGGAGGAGACATTGGAGACAGTCTTCTTGGGGCAGACAAAGTCGTCAAGGAATTCCAGACGCGGCAGTAGCCACCAGGTCTGCCTGGACGCGTCGCAGCCGGTGTCTCCGCCGAGCCTGCTTTTGCCCTCTCTCTTCTTCTTCGAGTAGACTGTGCGGAGGTTTCTGATTTTTCTCGAGACTTCGTCCTCTGTCAAGACAAAAAAAGAGTAACAGAAAAAACATCGTCTCCAGACTGGTAAAGAAACACATTGTTGGAGGTTTTGTCGCTGAACGTTCCAGCCTTATTCGGCTGTGGAGAGCGGAACATTTAGGTGGCAAGAGGCCATTGTAAAACTATTTTACTACAGTAAACTCTCGATTATCTGCGCTAATGACGGTGAGAATGGCCGTGGATAATACAAAATCGTGGATAATCCAAAAATAAAATTTTTCCGCAGATCTCTATGCCAAAAACCACAAATATAAGTGTATAAATTATGTTTGAGTTTCTCCGCCATCGTACAGTTTCGTAAATCAAAATTCACAAAATCACTGATCGCATAAATCACTTAAAATGAAGCACAACTGACGATTTCGATTGTTACTCTTTCAACTTAGAATGAAAACTAACGATTGCCCGATCGATGATGCGCGTGCTCAGTGATGACACTTTCCTGCTCCCATCCAGCAGAAGATTCGGCCCGCAGCAGTAGAGTCGCAGCCAATCAACATCAAACTCCACCCCACCGTTGTAAATATATTGCAACTACTGTACTGTAGAGGCGATCACGTGGATTTCGGATTAACCGGAGCAACATATTCCTTCGGTTTAAGCGCCGTGTGACTTATAATAAACATTTCCAAGACCAACGATGTCTAACAATTTTTTGATTATTGATTTGGGCTTAGGGGAAAATCCACGAGTTGATCCACAAATCGGACAAACTGCACGCACATAATCGAGTCTACTGTATTTCCACGTGATGATGATACACCACTTTGTTGAGCTATCATTTCCATAGCTGTCAACCCATACGGTTTACCCCGTATTCTTGTGCAGGGAAATTGAGTTTTCAGGTCCATATGGCGTACAGCTGTTTCAATACGGGCAAATGTTTTGTTTGTGTTTCTCCCTTGTGATGGGACTTTGTAGTGAACGTTGAGATTTCTAAGTACACGAGGTGACCAATAAGGTCTGAATTGGAAGGTAGGCCACTGATAAAGGCTTGATAGGTATGCATTTGTGATGGCCAGGTCGCTTCTGAAAAAAGTGCTACATTGCTCAGTGGGGCCTTACCTGGTGAAATAAACAAAAATAGTTTAAGTTTAGATGCGTTCCAGGAGCTTGGTAAATTGCAACTTCGTATATTCAATAACTTATAACATGAGTACTATGAGGATGCGTTCACAGCCTTCGAAACTTACCACTTCATACTATAAACAAATACCAGTCAACACCTTATCAGTGCCTACCTTATTAGAGACCAATTCAGACCTTGTTGGTAACCCCGTGCCCTTATAAAATACAAATAATTTATACTGTACAGTATAAAAATAATAAAAAAAACTGACGTAAATAAAAGAAACAATATACTGAAGCCATAGCTTATGAATGTATTGTTTAATTGTACAATTTTAAATAATGGCATAATTATTTTTTGTTTGGGTTAGATCGCGTAAATATAAATACGTCGTTAAACCCGCCACCACCCGACACAGCCAATTTAGTAAGGTTTGTCACGTAACCAGAACATGCCAATTCAAATTGGCATTTCTAGATTTAAAGCTTTCGTGACTGCTAGGATCCATACTCTTTGGTTCTATTGGGTAAAGTCACGTAGGTGAAAATAAAATAACAAAAAAATTATCAGAGATTTGTTCATGAAACAATTCAGATCTACAAACACAGACACAATTTCAACCGAGAGGATGGTTTCAAATTAAGCAACCACTGGAAAGATGTTCTAAATCGAACTAAACATTAAACTAATTTCAATGGTACAGTATATTTTTCAAATAGTGGTACCCCAAACTTTCGCAGCTCTTATAAATTCCCTTTTCACACCATCAATAGGTAAACTCCCCCTCCCCCCCTTCCCCCCGCGCCAAACGGCAAGTCCACCGGCACGTACACCACCTCTTTCCGAAAATCGGCCAATCAAATGCTAATTTTTATGCTAATTTCTTTGTCAGAACACCTTGTTTGCTCGCACACAGTTTAAAGGTCCGCGGTCTGAGCGTGGTTGTGTTTCGCTAAATTCTCCTGTTTGATGAGTACTAGGTGCCTCGGTGAATGTATATGCTCTAACTTTAACAGCTATTTCTGTGATCAGTTACAAGATAATCACTCAGCTATTTCAATGCTAAATTCTATGCTAATTCCTTTGTCAAGGGGTACCTCTGCGGATGTGTATACTTTAACTTAGCTATTTCAATGAGCCATTTCAATGCTAAATTATATGCTAATTTCCTTTGTCAAGGGGTACCTCTGCGGATGTGTATACTTTAACTTAGCTATTTCAATGAGCCATTTCAATGCTAAATTATATGCTAATTCCTTTGTCAAGGCGCTTGGTGTTTTTCTTCTCACACAGCTTAAAGGTCGTGATCTAAGCGTGGCTTCTTCCACTCCAGCGCTGTCCTCCAGACAGTCTCGTCCCTTCATCTGATGAAGGCCGCTTGTGTTGTGGCCGAAACGTCGTGATTTTTTGTTAATTTTTTTGTTATTTTATTTTCACCTACATGACTTTACCCAATAGAACCAAAGAGTATCGAATTGGCATGTTCACAAACCTTACTAAACTGGCTGTCGGGTGGTGGCGGGTTTAACACATTTATATTTACGTAATCTAACGCAAAAAAATATCACAGATGAAATTGGTCGCGACAGCCTACGTGTTAAACTTTTAAGCACATGCAATAATAATAATGCGCGTTTAAGATTTGTGGGGAGACGTGCAGAGGATTTAACGCGGGCTTTTAGTGGGGCATCTATAAACGGATCAGTGTAGTGTACGTGCAAAGGCAAAGATCCCCCGTGTAGCCTGCGACTGAGTGTCGGGGCAAGTGCTGTCAGCGAGCAGCAGCAGCACCTATAAAGGCCACGGACCGGCCGCCTTTGTCTCTCCAGTGGCTTTAAGATGTTTTTTTCTTGTTCGTTTTTTTTGTGTTTGTTGTGGTTGCACCCGATTCAAGAGCCCGTATGGCTCACAGGGGCTATACCAAAATCAACTGAAACTGAACAGAATGCCGATGTTTTTTTTTGTTTTTGACACCGCACCGTGAACTTATTTGAGGCCGGGTCGACCCAGGAGGAGGCTCAAGACCGGTTCAGAGATGAAATCGTCATTTGGTGTTGACCGTGAGCGGGGATCGAACTCGTAGTGCTAACCGCTACTGCACCACCACCACCGCTCCCCCACATCACACATTTAGCAGGGTGCCGAAACAAAAAAACGCTTTTAACGCTTCTCAGAAATTTGCAGCAATACCACGAGATTCTTTAGACCTTTTTTTCGTGTTAAAGCTATTAACATACATTTGTTATCACGTCACGGTGTATTATTTATCACCCCCCACCCCCCCCCCCCCCCCATTAAAAACAACAGTCCCTTATAAGTGTTACACATTTTTGTTTTAAGCACCCTGTGTAACACACACACAACAACAATAACAACCGCGACATTCGTTACTACTAAGTGGCGGCGTGACCACGGCGCTCGTGCCAGGCTACGTGCATACGACTAAGGGCCTGTCCATAAATGACGTCACGCGATTTTGGACAATTTTTGACCCCCCCCTCGTCACACGGCGTCACAAAAAGTCTGACCCCCCCCCCCTCAAATATGACGTCACAAAGCTCTGCCCCCCACAAAAAATATAAAACACGCTTCAAATCATATTCTTGGTTCTTTCGGTAAAGTTACGTTGAAGGTAAACAATACAATAATAAAATATTATTTTATATATTATATATTGAAGGGAAACAATAAAATAATAAAATATTATTTTAATATTATTTTATTGCATATTATATATTTTTTTTATTTTATTGTTTCCCTTCAACGTGACTTTACCGAAAGAACCAAGAATATGAATCTCTGCAGTCACGAAAGCTTTAAATCAAAATGTATGCTTCAAATCGCTTTAAACTATTGTCATTGTAGTGCGTGCATATTTAATGTGGCGCTGCACTCTGATGTTGTAGGAGAAAACATTTATTTAAAAAAGTCTATTCAATTAAGTAGAACGTGTTGTTGTCTATATTCATTTAAAGTTGCGCAATTTTGACGTGACGTCACATTTCTCAAACACCCTCGCCGCCCCCCCGGTCACACATCGTCACAAATGTCTGACCCCCGTGACGTCATGTACGGACGGACACGCGTTTACGACGGACACGTACCGGTAGTCCCGAGTCGCTGCGCAATGTCCCGCAGAGCCCTCTGCCTCTTCCGCTTGACGTGGTAGTCGGGCAGCAGGGCGTCGTACAGGCACGGGTTGCCACGGTACAGCTCCACCATCTCCTCCAGCTTGCCCGTCGACCACCAGAAGTCCTCGCACATTGGCGGTGGTGGCGTGGGTGCGAGCCCGTGGTGCTTCAAGTGAACGTCTGTGTGTGAGAGAGAGGAGAGGAGAAAGAGCTTTAGAGCTCATCGGATTCCTCCGGTGTTTGAGCGCGACAGGCCGTGGAGTTTGTTTCGCGTTTGCGCGGCGCTGTCTGTCGCTGACGCAATCGATTGCCCTCGATGGGGCGGGGGGGGAGGATTGCACGAAATTTGCACGAGGTTGTTTGGGTGTTAGGCTGAGCCTTGAAGGTCGTGCCGGGGGGGGTGAGGGCTGGTCCATGAAGTGTGAGTGTGAGGGGGGTGAGGGCTGGTCCATGTGGTGTGAGTGTGGGGGGGTGAGGGCTGGTCCATGTGGTGTGAGTGTGGGGGGTGAGGGCTGGTCCATGTGGTGTGAGTGTGGGGGGTGAGGGCTGGTCCATGTGGTGTGAGTGTGGGGGGTGAGGGCTGGTCCATGTGGTGTGAGTGTGTGGGGGGGGAGGAGGGAGTGAGGGCTGGTCCATGTGGTGTGAGTGTGGGGGGTGAGGGCTGGTCCATGTGGTGTGAGTGTGTGGGGGGGGAGGGGCGAGTGAGGGCTGGTCCATGTGGTGTGAGTGTGGGGGGGGGTGAGGGCTGGTCCATGTAGTGTGAGTGTGGGGGGGGCTGGTCCATGTGGTGTGAGTATGTGGGGGGGGTGAGGGCTGGTCCATGTGGTGTGTGTGGGTGGGGGGGGGCTGGTCTATGTGGTGTGAGTGAGTGTGGGGGGGTGAGGGCTGGCCCATGTGGTGTGAGTGTGGGGGGGGAGGGGCTGGTCCACGTGGTGTGAGTGTGTGGGGGGGGAGGCTGGTCTATGTGGTGTGTGTGTGGGGGGGGAGGGGCTGGTCCATGTGGTGTGAGTGTGTGGGGGGGGGGGCTGGTCCATGTGGTGTGTGTGGGGGGGGGGCTGGTCTATGTGGTGTGAGTGAGTGTGGGGGGGGGGCTGGTCTATGTGGTGTGAGTGTGTGTGTGGGGGGGGGCTGGTCCACGTGGTGTGTGTGTGTGTGGGGGGGCTGGTCTATGTGGTGTGAGTGTGTGTGGGGGGGGGGGCTGGTCTATGTGGTGTGAGTGTGTGTGGGGGGGGGGGGCTGGTCTATGTGGTGTGAGTGTGGGTGTGGGGGGGTGGTGATCGTGACGGGCGAGTCCATTCAGCGTCGTGCGTGGGGGACCAGGGAAATGTGTAAAAACCCTGGATTTGAAGCTTTCGTGACTGCAGGAATTCATACTCTTTGGTTCTTTCGGTTGTTTTATTTTATTATTTTCTATCCACATGACTTTACCTGAAAGAACCAAAGAGTTTGTAAAAAAACATCTATTATTTATTTCACCAGGTAAGGCCCCCGCTGAGTTGCTATGCAGCAAGCCTTTTTTTCTGGCTATTACAAATGATGAGCTCAACGTAGTGGCGTATTATTACCATCATCATTATCATCATCATCACCATCATCATCATTATTACCATCACCATCATTACCATCATCATCATTACCATCATCATCATTATTACCATCACCATCATTATTACCATCACCATCATCATTACCATCATCACCATCATCATTATTACCATCACCATCATCATCATTACCATCATCATCACCATCATCATTATTACCATCATCATCACCATCATCATTATTACCATCATCATCATTACCATCATCATTATTACCATCATCATCACCATCATCATCACCATCATCATCACCATAATTACCATCATCATCATTACCATCATCACCATCATCATTACCATCATCATCACCATCATCATTATTACCATCATCATCATTACCATCATCATCACCATCATTACCATCATCATCATTACCATCATCATCACCATCATCATCATCACCATCATCATCATTACCATCATCATCATTACCATCATCATCATTACCATCATCACCATCATCATTACCATCATCATCACCATCATCATCATCACGTGCAAATGTATAGCAGCAGGCAAATACTCTAAACGCGTTACGTTGATTCTACATGTGGAGGGAAACAACGGAGGTCCCGGAGAAAAAAATCCACGCGATCACGGGGAGCGAGACGCGTGGAGTCCAAATATACAGCAGGCGTCGTCAGGGTCGGGATCGAACCCACGACCTCCTGCGTACCAGGCGAGGTAGTTAACATCTCCCAGCCACCGTGATGATGATGATGAGAGAGAGACACACAAACTCCAAATATACAGCAGGCGTCGTCAGGGTCGGGATCGAACCCACGACCTCCTGTATACCAGGCAAGGTAGTTAACAGCAGTCAAATGCTCGAAACACGTAATGTTGACTTTAAATGTGGGGGAAAAAACCGGAGAACCCGGAGAAAAATCCACGCGGCCACGGGGAGAGAGACACACAAACTCCAAATATCCAGCAGGCATCGTCAGGGTCGGGAACGAACCCACGACCTCCTGCATACCAGGCGAGGTAGTTAACATCTCCTAGCCACCGTGGCGTCCCAAACAGTGGCGTAATGCAGTCTTGAGCCCAACAGGGTGGCGTCATCACTCCAGCGTGGGACTTGATGAGCAATCTGACGACAGCAGTGCGAATGTTAATGTGGCATTTAGTTAAATATTAACGTGGCATTTAGTTCAATGTTAATATGGCAATACGTTTAATTTTAATGTGCCATTGAGTTCAGTGTTAATGTGGCATTTAGTTCAGTGTTGTTAATGTGGCATTTAGTTCAGCGTTAATGTGCCATTTAGTTCAATGTTAATGTGGCATTTAGTTCAATGTTAATGTGGCATTAAGTTCAATGTTAATGTGCCATTTAGTTCAACGTTAGTGCGCCATTTAGTTTAATGTTGATGTGGCTTTTAGTTCAATGTTAATGTGCCATTTAGTTCAATGTTAATTTCTGATTTAGTTCAGTGTTAATGCTAATATGCCATTTAGTTCAGTGTTGATCTGGCATTAAGTATACATGTTAATCTGCCATTTAGTTCAATGTTAACGTGACATTACGTTCAACGTTCTGGTGGAGCTAGGCCATTTTGGAGTCGTTTCCATGAAATCTATAAGCACGTTCTAGATTTGAAGCTTTCGTGACTGCAAGGATCCATACTCTTTGGTTCTATTCGGTAAAGTCACGTAGGTAAAGAAATAAAACAACAAAAAATCACGTTTCGGCCACAACACAAGCACGTCTTGCCAGCAGATGGTGCCACGATGCCGCCTATGATGCCGTTTTGAATCGCTGCACTGTGGAAGACTCGCTCTTATTGATATTTTAGCATGAGTTGATCACCCATTATCTGGCACCGCGCGATTAAAAACACTTTCTTTTGTCTATTTGAATTTGTTTCTCCCTTGCGATGGGACTTTGTAGGATGAACGTTGAGATTTATAAGGGGCACGGGGTGACCAATAAGGTCTGATATAATCCATGATAGAGGTTTTTGGGTTAGGTCGCGTAAATATATAAATGCAATAAGGCAGGGCACTGATAAGGGGTTGACAGGTATGGTATAGAAGTGTAGTGTATAGTAGTGTAGTGTGTAGTAGTGTAGTGTATAGTGAAGTGTATAGTGTAGTGTATAGTAGTGTAGTGTATAGTGACTTTTTTGGTTGGACGTTGAGATTTATAAGGGGCACGGGGTGACCAATAAGGTCTGAATTGGTCTGTAATAATGTAGGGGCACTGATAAGGAGTTGACAGGTTTGACAACACAACAACAGGCAGGGCCCCAAGGCCGTAGCCATGAAGTCAACATTGGGGGGGACCAAATCTTCCAGGGGGTCTGGGGGTCCCCCCCCAAGAAAAAAATCCTAATTTGAAAACGAATTGCCTGCCATTTCCTGCCTAAAATATAAGTAAATTCACTAAAACAAAAGATGGACTTTTTTTTTTACAATAATGTCTAATAGTGTATTGTATTACATTGCTCTGTTTTTTTGCCTTTTCTTGTTTCATTGTATGTAACGGCAGAGATTGGGGATTTACAAAGTACAATCATAACCACAATCATATACACATAAATCTATTTTATAGCAATATATTGGGGGGGGGACATTTTGAGCTTATTTGATTATGGTGGGGGATGTGTGTCCCCCAATTTCTATTATAATTACGGTCTTGCAGGGCCCAATCAACACAAAGTGTGTGCTCGGTGACGCTCACGGCGTATTACTCCTTACCCCCTGTGGGACCTAAGTTCTTACGGGGTGGTGTAGTTAGCGCGCCGCGTCCCGACCCCCCCCCCCCCCAACGCTGGAGGGGGCCAGCGGCGGTGGTGGTGGCTTTCCCGTCTGACCAGTGCCAGATTAAAGGGGCCCTAAATAAGATCGTCGCCATCGTCGCTGTCGTCTCGTTGCTGTTGACTTCACTTGATGTTGCGTTGCTAGATAGTTGTTGGCTGTCTCGGATCAGCGCTGTGAGTATTATACAGTTAGTTTTATGTATAGGCTAGCAACAGTAATAGTGTGTACCCACGTAGAGTTGTGTATAGGCTAGCAACAGTAATAGTGTGTGCCCACGTAGAGTTGTGTATAGGCTAGCAACAGTAATAGTGTGTACCCACGTAGAGTTGTGTATAGGCGAGCGACTGTAGAGTATAATACCCATGTAGGGTGTGTATTATACTGATGGTGCTCGTGAAGTGAAAGAAGTGCCTCCAAGTCTTATCATCTCCGAGTTAGTCACCACACGAGAATAATCCGGCACTGCCCCAACCCCCCTTCGTCGTTGCAATAGGGAGCTGTGCCTCTGGGCACAGCCAACAATACAACACGCGTGTCTATGATACAGTGCGTGTGACTTTACTATCAAAACAAATATATAATCGGTGACGTTTCGGGGCAATGGACCTTCATAACGTGTTATGAAATCACAGCAGTGGCGTGCAATGAAGAAGGGCTATTGCCCGAAACGTCACCGATTACACATGCATATATATTTCTTGTTGTAAGGCCCCAATAGTGTTGCTGTGACAAAAAGAGCTTCACAGCTCATCAGATTCCTCCAGTATAAATCAAAATTCTGATTGTGTTGTCGACTCGCCATCAGTGGCGTCTCCACGCTGAGCGAATACCCCTGGACAGCCGCCCCCTCCCTCCCCGTCCCTTCCTGGTTAAGAAAGCGGGCAACAATATATAAATGTGTCGTTAAAACCCACCACCACCCGACACAGCCAACTTATAAGGGTTGTCACGTCAACAGAACGTGGCCAATTCGTCACTAGTACAGCACTAGTGTATAGTGTAGTGTGTAGTGTATAGTGTAGTGCATAGTGTAGTGTATAGTGTAGTGCAGTGGTTCTTAACCTGGGTTCGATCGAACCCCAGGGGTTCGGTGAGTCGATCTCAGGGGTTCGGCAGAGCCCCCGCCACGGAGGTCCGGACACACTTGAATTATTGTGTAAATTTGTGATGACACACACGGCCCGCTTGGCCATCACTGGCTGCAGATGATCATGCTACACTGCTTGGCCAATCAGCGCTGCGGGTAATTTAGTGCGTACTCAGTAGTCAACGTGTGACTGTTGTTGTCGTACGTCGTGTGATTTCTTTAATATTTTATCCATACTAACTATGTCGGGCAAAAGAAGAAAGTGATCGGACGAATATGTACAACATGGATTCTCATGTATCACGGAACGTGATGGGAGTGAGCGTCCTATCTGCATGATTTGCAACGCCAAGTTGAGCAACTCTAGTCTTGCACCGGCAAAACTAAAGGAACACTTCTTGAAGCTGCATGGAGACGGGGAATACAAGAACACAACACTTGCTGAATTCAGGGTGAAGAGAGCCAGATTCGATGAAAGGGCCACTCTGCCTGCTCTTGGATTTGTACCTGTTAACAAACCGATCCTGACAGCATCGTACGAAGTTGCTTACCTGATCGCAAAGCAGGGCAAGCCACACACCATTGGTGAAACACTTGTGAAACCAGCTGCATTAAAGATGGCGAATCTGATACTCGGAACAGCGGCCGAAGGTAAATTATCCCAAATTCCCCTTTCAAATGACACCGTCAGTGACAGAATAGAAGACATGAGTAAAGACATCTTGGCTCAAGTAGTCGCGGATCTGATTTCAAGCCCGGCAAAATTCAGCCTTCAACTCGACGAAACCACAGACGTTTCTGATCTAAGCCAGCTTGCTGTTTTTGTACGCTATGTGAAAGACGACATGATAAAATAAGAGTTTTTATTTTGTAAGCCTCTTACAACAACAACGAAGGCAGCCGATGTGAAGAAGCTTGTGGATGACTTCTTCAGAGACAACAATCTTTCATGGGATATGGTTTCTGCAGTTTGTACGGACGGAGCTCCAGTCATGCTGGGAAGAAAGTCTGGTTTTGGTGCGCTAGTAAAGGCCGATGCACCACACATCATTGTGACGCATTGTATTCTGCACAGGCATGCGTTGGCAACAAAAACCTTACCTCCAAAAATGGCAGAAGTATTAAAAACTGTGGTGGAATGTGTGAACTATGTGCGAAAAAGTGCTCTGAGGCACCGCATCTTCAGTGAGCTGTGTAAAGAAATGGGCTCTGAATTTGAGGTACTTCTGCTCCATTCTAATATTCGGTGGTTATCCCGGGGACAGGTGCTGAATCGTGTTTTTGCCATGCGTGTGGAATTAGCCCTGTTTTTTGCAAGAGCACCAACACTGCCATGCAGATTGCTTCAAAAATCCTGAGTTCATTCTCATTTTAGCGTACATGGCTGATATATTCGCAGCTCTCAATCATCTCAATCAGCAGATGCAGTGTGGTGGAGTCAATATCATGGAAGCGGAAGAACACCTGAAGGCTTTTCAAAAAAGCTACCGTTATGGAAACGACGAACAGAGAACAATAACTTCGCAAACTTCCTGCTTCTGGACGACTGTGCAAGTAAGATCGAAGATGTGTCTGGAATCGGAGATATTTCTGTATCCACGGAACTGAAGCAAACAATTGCCACGCACTTAGATGAGCTTGCAAAGTCTCTCGACGGATATTTCCCTACAAGAGAGTCATATCCAGCATGGGTGAGACAGCCGTTCACGTTTGCTGTTGAAACAGCAGATGTCAATGATGAATTCCTCGACGAAATCATTGAAATTCAGCAGAGCCAGGTTCAACAGCAACTCTTCAGAACAACAACGCTCTCAACGTTTTGGTGTCGACAAATGAACAAGTATCCAGTTATTGCTAAGAAAGCCCTGGATTTTTTTATACCATTTGTTACAACATATCTTTGTGAGCAATCTTTTTCGAGGATGCTGGACATAAAAACGAAGAAAAGGAACAGACTTTGCTGTGAAAATGACATGAGAGTGGCACTTGCCAAGGTGAAGCCACGCATATCTGAACTGATCTCTCAAAGGCAACAGCAGAAGTCACATTGATTTCCAGATATATAATTTGTTGTGAGTTTATGCATTGTGTTGGTTTTATTCTTTGAACAAGGTAATGTTCATGCACGGCTCATTTTGTGTACCAGTAAAAAACATATCTATGTCTTGAATTTGAAAAAAATCACATTTTATTTTTCACTAAAGAGGGGTTCGGTGAATGCGCATATGAAACTGGTGGGGTTCGGTACCTCCAACAAGGTTAAGAACCACTGGTGTAGTGTATATTGTAGTGTGTAGTGTATAGTGTAGTGCATAGTGTAGTGCATAGTGTAGTGTATAGTGCAGTGTATAGTGTAGTGTGTAGTGTATAGTGTAGTGCATAGTGTAGTGTGTAGTATACTAGTGCAGCGCACCGGTGTGTTGGAGAGCCAAGCCACAACATTAACAATTTGAGTACGACGTTTCGCCAGTAATTACAACTGGCTTCATCAGGCGACAGCCAGATTTGTGGCTGTCGCCTGATGACATATATATAAGGAACGAAACAGATCGACTTCTCCACAAATCTGGCTGTCGCCCTTTGTGGCTTGGCACCCTCACCGCCATCGAAGTCGTAATCATCGTCGCGCTAATGTCAAAACCCTCCCAATGGTTTCAAATGTGTGGCAGCCCCCACACACGCACTGACGACGTCGTCTCTGCGAAAGTGCCCTCCCTCTGAAGATTTAGCGAAGACCCAACCGCCCGACGAACATTCACGCAGGCGCTACCAAAGCGGACAACCCGTCTGCTGTGATAATGGACGTTAAAGACCCCTCACCTCCCTCTGGTGACGCCGTTATCAGCAAGCATTCGCACCACCGTGTGTCAGGAGGCAGTCGCTGACGCTCAGAATGGCAATATTGCATTCGATACCGGTGGAATCCGACGAGCTACGAAGCCCTTTGTCGCAGACGTCCCGTAGTGGGCTGGCTGGCTGGAATCCAACCCGGACGCAAGCGTCAGTTGAATCGCCAGTTCGCTCCGCGCATCTCAAACCCATCGGAGCGCCTTTCAAGTTTGCCCCGGCTCCTTATGCGCTGGGCCATCTCTCAAGCCGATCTCCTTCATTGACATTCAATACGACGTCCCGATGTGTTGTTGTTGTTGTTTTTAAAAATATATATCGGGTGAAATTGTGAACGAGAGCCATCGTCAGGCAGTGGTATAGATCTAAAGCGGCATGGTCCACGGGTTCGCTGCAGCTCAAATACTCGACTCACCTACAAGGTGCGTAGTGAAGTTAGGAGATGTCCCGTGTGTGAGCTCGGGGCAATTGAAGACCTGGCGACTTGGATCGGTGAATTGGCCGACAGTGTGTTCATCAGGGAGGCAGTTCAGTATCCGGACAGCAGAGTGAAGAAGAAGAAGATGGGAGATTCTGTCCAGGGAGCAATGTGCTGGCAACGGGGAGGAGGAGTGGGGGGGGGAAGGACGTAACCTGGCAGGGGTTGTGCATAATCGGTTGGCACGGCGTCTTTCATACGGAGGGGGTGGAAGCGTGGCCTGAAGGTCTGTGTAGGGGGGGGGGGGGCAGTGGTCGGTGTACATTTTGTACCAGGGGACTGTGACAGCGACGCATCGATGCTTCTCTCCCATCAAGCACGGCGCGCAACCCCTCCGCAACCGCGTCAGCTGCAATTCAGGGGCACGCGTCTACCACCACAGCCATCATCATCACCATTATCATCATTATTACCACCACCAGCATAACCATCATCACCACCACTACAACCATCATCACCATCAACATGATCATCACCATCATCACCATCATTATCATCATCACCACCTCTATCACCACAACCACAACCATCATCATCACCATTACCACCACAACCATTACCACCACCACAATAACCATCATCGCCACCACTACAACCATCATCACCTCCACCACTACAGCCATCATCATCACCACCACAACCATCATCACCACCTCTATCACCACAACCACAACCATCATCACGACCTCCAACACCACCACAACTATCATCAAAACCATCATCATCAAAGACAAAAATCCCCCGTATAGCCTTAACAGACCGAGCACCTATAAAGGCCGGCACGGCACACGAGGGGGTGGATGGCCAGCACCACGCCCGGCCGCCTTTGTCACCCCGGTGGCGATGTTTACACACCGCACCAGGTACTCATTTGAAGCTGAGTCGACCTAGGTGAGGCCCAGGACCGGTTCAGATAATCGTCGCTGGTGTTCACTGGGTCGCCGTGTTTGTATCGCTGCGTAGCGCTAACCGCTACATTTCGCGAGCGAGTTTCTCTCTCGCGGCCTTGCGACGAGCTGGCTACGCATAAACCCGGCGCCCAGAGACTCTCAAGAGCGGCATTTCTAGTCCGGTTTGCCACATGGCGGTCAAACGGGCCTTTTACCTTTTTCCCGTCAAAGTTGTCCATTATCCGAGTGAATCGGTGTTCGCTCGCCGCTCGCGGAGGCAGAGTTTGGAGGACGACCCCCGAGGCACGAGCAGGAACCACAGGCGGAGCGGGGAAGGCAGCCACACGGTGAGCCCGCGCCAACCATCGCCCAAACATCTGCGGTACTCAATGTGTGAAGGTGTTGTGGGCCAATCGATGGCTGGGAGCGGGAAACATTATTATCCCCATACGGATGGAGCAGATTGAGTCCCTGGTTTTTTTCTGCTGTACCGGCTTCGAGGCGTGCCAGGGTACCGGGCTCCTCCTCGATGCCCAAGGGAAGGGAGTTTCGCAATATTTGGTTGGTTGATCCACCAAACTCTCGCTTCCACAGTTCTGGGATTAGCGATGTGAAGTCACACCGCCCGGCAAATCGAGTAAAAAAAAGTTCATGCGATAGTCGTGTTTGTTTGTGTGCACTTTCATCTCAGTCAATCAACCCATGGCACCTGGGTCTGTCCTTTGACCACCTGGCGGCGGGCGTTTGACACTTCACGTGGCGTTAAAGTGCACATAGCCTGGCGCAAGCGCCGTGGTGACGTTACCGCCACTTCGTGGCAAATGCCGGTTGTTGTTGTTGTTTTGTGCACAATCCCGGGCTGAGACGATGAGCCCTGTTTAATCACAGGCGTGGTTTTTCAGGTAAATCCCAGATCATAGCGGCTCGGCCGAATGAACCCATTGACGTCTGTGGCCATTTTCACGTAGCCCTCAATCATTGACCTTTGGTGGCATCCCATGGCCTCTGACAGTCAGGTGAATGGTCTTGCAGCGGGGGATCTTCCAGCGGTGGCCCATGTGCCATATGCGGCCCACGGGGGCTCCACTAATGCCGGTGTTGAGATGTTCAAACGCCAATAAGAGACCAAATGACGCAGCGTGATGTATGCGCAGGCACGCGTACTTATGGTAAAAATGCAAATATGAATTTGCCAATGTTGCGCACTTTCCCTGACTCTGATTGACCTACATCAGAGACAGCCTCCTTTCTCACAAAGTGCGAGACCCAAAGGCCACCAAAAGGCGAGCAGTGCAAGGACAATGCAAAAACCGAAGCGTCAATAACTCGGGTTGTGCAATTACAGCTACGGGTGCCCTTTCACCAACATCAAAATATTGCAATGGCATTTCAAATGTGTAACTTATTCAATTGCTTCTGCTGTACTTATGTGAAAAGAGATCGCTCTCCTGGTAGGCTCACTCAACGAGAGCCTACCAGGAGAGCGTCTCGCCATTGCCATGAGGCTCGTAACAACGACAACGACGTTGGAGAAGTTCCACGCCGTCAATTTTTACGCTGAATTCGTGTTTTTTTACTTTATTTTTTGCAAAGTGCAAAATTTATGGTTAAGGGATATTTATTGAAGGAAAAAAAAACTTTACTTTGAGATATCATATTTTTGTGAGGGGGGATAAAATAATTAAGAAAAGTACGATAATCACACTTCAATGGTGTTTTTGTGAAATGGACGATGCAATTATCATGGATCTTGCGTCATATGGTACACACCGTTGTAGTACTGTACAAACCATCATAGTACCGTACACACCATCGTAGTACGGTACACACGATAGTAGTATGGTACACACTATGGTAGTACCATTCATACTATTGTAGTATGGTACATTCTATCGCAGTATGGTACGTACTATTGTAGTATGGTACACACTATTGTAGTATGGTACATACTATTGTAGTATGGTACACACTATCGTAGTACCGTACATACTATTGTAGTATGGTACATACTATCGCAGTATGGTACATACTATCGTAGTATGGTACACACTATTGCAGTATAGTACACACCATCGTAATATGGTACACACTATCATAGTATGGTAACACGCGATCATTGGGTGGCACTCAAGGCCATGATAAACCCCTTGCTGTCTGAGCCACCGAGGCACGTGCCACAGCACGTGGATGATGCGTTGGGGCGCGACGTGACATTACACCAGGGGTCGGGAACCTTTTTGACTAAGAGAGCCATGAAAGCAAAAAATTTGGAAATTTATTTCAGTGAGAGCCATATAATATATTTTAAAAGTGAATTCAACTAAATGTCAGTATAATAAGCCTCTGAATTTATTCTTTTAAATAATGTTGTTATAACACTCACCATTAATGCGACTTCTGGTGCTGCATGGATTTGCTGATGTCTTTGTAGTCGGGTTGGTACTTGGTGAGGTTAAGCTTCATGCAAGCGTTGAGGCTTTCATCCGTTAAACGTGATCGTAGGTTGGACTTGATGTTTTTAAGATGTGAGAATGACTGCTCACATGCATACGTAGATCCAAACATGGTCAATACAGCAATACTCACACGCTGCAGTGTGTGGTATGTGACAGGAAGCGCGTTCCAAGTTTTGAGAATCAGCTGGTCTTCGGGTTGGAGTTTTTTCATTTCTGTCCACATGTGCTTGCTCGCCAACTCCGCTTTCTGTCGTGTGATTCTTTCCAAATCTTCATTCAGTGACTTGAACTTATTCACCCACATGTCTGAGGCCTTCAGGTCAGCCACTTCTGCTTCAAAATCTCTGACGGAGACACCAGGGATGTAATTCAGGTCGGCTGTGTTCAGTGAACACTCGTTTGGATGGGTGATGAACTTAAAAAGACGAGTGTGCTCACGAAATTCTCCAAAGCGTGCTTTGAAGGACTGTAGGAGACTGGATGTGCAGCCAGCTAGCTGGTGGAGATCAAGGTTTTGAATGGGCTCACTTGCTGTGCATGCATCTTTAAATTGGCTCAGTTTTTCAAAATGTAGTAAACGACCTGTTTCAAGATCCGTGATGAAAAGCTCCAGCTTGTTTTCAAAAGCAAATACAGCTTGTTGAAGGGATAACACTGTATTTCCAATGCCTTGCATTTTCACGTTGAGCTGGTTCAGATGTTCAGTCAGATCTACGAGATAGTAAAACTTGAGGAGCCACTCGGTGTCGGCTAGCTCAGGATGCCCGACGCCTTTCATTTCAAGGAAAGTCCGGATTTCGTTCAGGCAAGCCGCAAAACGGCTAAGCACCTTCCCTCTTGACAACCAACGCACATTGCTGTGCAAAAGCAGACCAGGATAGTTATTTACAACTTCATCCAGCAGTGTTTTAAACTGGCGATCATTTAAGGCTCGGGCAACAATAAAGTTGATCACACGAATGACCAGCGACATCACTTCGCCAAACTGCCTGTCACACATCTGAGCACAAAGTGCCTCCTGGTGTATAATGCAATGGAAACTTAGGATGGGTCTATTTTCATGTTCACGGAGAAGCGCCACAAATCCTTTGTTTTTCCCCACCATACACGGAGCACCATCAGTACACACTGAGAGAAGTTTATCCATAGGTAGACTTTTTTCTTGAGCAAACTCCATGAAAGACTTGAATAAATCCTCACCTCTTGTGGACCCTTTTAATGGCAGAACAGCAAGACTTTCTTCGCGCAGTGTGTCACCAACAGCATATCTTGCAATCACGCTGAACTGCGACAAATGGCTCACGTCTGTTGACTCATCCAAAGCCAGAGAAAAGAACGGCGCTGCATTTATGTCCTTCACTTGCGTTTCCTCCACTTTGTTTGCCATCACGATGGTACGATCATGAACAGTTCTTGCCGACAGAGGCATGTCTTGTATCCGTTTGATTATCTTGTCTTTGTTCGGAAGATCATCAAAAAGTTCATTGGCTACATCGAGCATGAACGTTTTAGCATACTCGCCATCTGTGAATGGTTTTCCGTTCCTCACTATTGCTAAAGAACCAGCAAAGCTAGCCGAATTATAGTCACCTTGCCGGGTCCATACGCGGAGTTGCTGCTGGCTAGCTTGCACCCTGCTCAGAAGCTCTTGGCACGCTTTCTTTCTGCTGTCTCCCGCAGGGTATTTTGATGCAAAGGTAGCATGGCGCGTGTCGAAGTGCCGCTTTACATTCGACCGTTTCAACAATGTAATTTTGTCATTGCAAATTAGACACACCGCAGAACCCGCTCTCTCCACAAAGGCGAATTCTTCGGTCCATTCGTCCTGAAATGTACGATACTCGTCGTCTTTTTTTCTTTTCGCCATCTTCTTCGTCGAAGGGTTAGCTTTGAGCTAATGACCGAGCAGACGCAGTCTCAGACTGATTCAAAAGGGGGCGTTTACCTGTTTTACC